TAAATCCCTAAATCCCTAAATTCTAAATCCCTAAATCCTTAAATCCCTAAATCCCTAAATCCCTAGATCCCTAAATCCCTAAATCCCTAAATCCCCAAATCCCTAAATTCCCAAATCTGTCCATTTCCAAATCTCAAAATTCCCAATTCTGTCAATTTCTAAATTTCTAAATCCCCAAATTCCTAAATCCCCAAATTTCCATAAATCCCTTAATTTCCGTATTCCCAAATTTCCACATTTCTAAACACCCAAATTTAATAATGTCTAAATTCTCAAATTTCCCATATCGCACTCAGTTAACCATAACTACCATATTACATCTAACTACCTTAAAAATTCGAAACTCACAAATGAACCAATTTAAACACCACTTCAATATTAAACCACCTCCAATATTATCAAAACTTCTAATAACGTTAAAAAACGTAAAATCTCAAAACATTATATTTATAATCGTTCAACATTTTCTGTTCTAGGCGTACATCTCATGCGCTCTAGGTGTCCACAAAGTGGGCTACGTAATGATCTGCTTCGGCGTTGTGAACGCCGCCTGCTCCCTGCTCTTCGGCTCCCTAATGAAATTCGTCGGCAGGCAACCGCTTATGGTGCTGGGCGCCATTGTTCATGTTAGCCTTGTCGTCGTGCTACTCCACTGGAAACCGAATCCCGAAAATCCTTATGTTTTCTATTCAGTTTCCGGATTGTGGGGAGTTGGTGATGCTGTGTGGCAGACGCAAGTAAACGGTAAGTTATTTTTATTATTAATATTATTAACAATCTTGTAATTATACAATTAACAATCTGGTACTTGGGTGGCAATTCAAGACTCTGCATTCGTTTTTGTTTAGGGACACTTGCGTAGGAAGATATAATGTGTATGCATGCCATATGTGCATATATTATGTACAATAATACCATGTATACTGTATGTACAAGAACGTACATGTAGATATTTAGGAACATGTCTGGAAATGTATCTATGAATATATGTAGATATATTGATGTCTTTATGTGTATAAGAACATATGTAGAGATATAAGTAAATAGAAACATATGACACATACATGTGCATATGTAGCTAGGAACATATGGCACATATACATATACATATGTAGCTAGGAACTTATGAACCATATACATATGTAGCTAGGAACATATGAACCATATACATAAGTACCTAAGAACTAGGTATAACATGTATCTCCTTTGGAACTGCCCACACATTCATACACCTAACATTCTGTTCACATAACTACGTAAACAAGAAAGAAACAACATAAAATGAAGGTCATAAATTCCACATGTCTCATGTGGAACCCAAGTCCTATAAAACCCAAGTACTATATTATCACATATCGAGTCCATTTCAAAACTACCCAGGTCCCTGAATTCGCCTAACACCTAACATTGTCCGCAGGTCTGTATGGAACCCTCTTCAGGCGCAACAAGGAGGCCGCCTTCTCGAACTACAGATTATGGGAGAGCGCCGGTTTCGTGATAGCGTACGCGTACAGCACACACCTATGCGCCCGTATGAAACTATACGTGATGCTGACAGTATTACTGGTGGGCACAATGGGCTACTTCATAGTAGAGCTGTTGCACAGGCGTAAACAGAGAAGGCTGAAGGCGATCGCCGAGGATCCGAAGGCGGCGCAGGCGGAGGCGAACCAAGTCGAAGAGACGGACGACGAGAAGGACGATATCGACGACGATATCATAATCACTCACCTTTGAACAACCCGGCTCAGTGTTTGGGCACGATCGACTCTTACCACTCCCCCTTTTTTAATTCTTCCTTATCGCTTCGCTATAATAACGAGCACAGTTAGCTTTCCGCCGGCGAACTATCGATAGCCTCGGAACTGAGCACGTGTTCGTGTATTATTGTTCGTTCCATGGAAGCGTGAGGATCGTCGTCTTTGAAAGAAGTTTGACCAACATTTGCGTCAGCGTTGACATTGCCGAGGTCGTTGGACGTCGTTTGTGCGCAGGGGCGGCGAGACACGCAGCGGGGCCCGGGGAGAAGGCTTGAAGGCACCTGACCTGATGTTTTTGTTAATTGAAACTTAACTATGAAATCGGAGCGCAGGATATATTATAAAGAACTGCGTGAATAGGGCCTAATTAAGATCTCAGGAGTCTGAGCTCCAACGAGTTCAAAATAATTACATGAGTCTCTTGTAGGATCTAATTAAAGTTTTATGGAAACCTAAGCTCCTCGGAGTTGGAAAACACTATGTGAGTCTCTGGTAGAACTTAATCAAAGTTTCAAAGGAGCCACAGCTCCTCTAAGTTTGAAAATAGTATATGAGCCTCTATTAAAACTTAATTAAGGTTTGATGGGAGTCTGAGCTTCACTGAGGTGAAAATAACTACTTAAGTCTCTAGTAGAACCCAAGTAAGGTTTAGAAGAAGCCTGAACTCCTTTGACTTGCAACAAACTATATGAGTCTCTAGTAGCACCTAATCAAGGTTTCATGGGAGCCTAAGCTCCTCTCAGTTGGAAAACACTATGTAAGTCTCTAGTATAACTTAATCAAAGTTTGAGAGGAGCCACAGCTCTTCTAAGTTTGAACATGCTTTGTGAGCCTCTATCAAAACTCAATTAAGGTTTGGTGGTTCAGGAGAAAAATTTGTATGTCCTACACAAAATTCAATAAAAATCTCGGTGGAACTGGAGCTCCCTCCAAGAAAGTAAGAGGAGCAATCCCGCCAAACTTATTAATAAAAATTTAGTGAGCTCAGATTTCCCGGCTTTGACAATAAATGAAAAAAAGAGAAAATTTGCGAAGTGATATCCGGGCCCATCATGCTCCCCTTCTCGTCGGTCCTGTATCTGCGCAACATGCACGAAGAGTTCCGTTGTGTGTTTTAAACTTGTGAAATTGGTTGAAATTTGATTTTATCTTTCATAACTTTCGATTATATAAATGTACGTTGGATATCTGACGTTATTTCGACGTTCTTGTTTCTTCCGTTTCTTTTCATTGTGAAAACGCATTGTTTCTATTATTGAAACGACGACATGTTTGTTTCTTTCGTGGAAAAGATGGACGAACGATGCGAGGACGATTAGTATGGAAGCACCGTGTTAGCGAATCGGTATCGCTTCATTCTTTTCATATGATAGGACGATCTTTTATTGTTAATGGAAACGAATTGCTTGCCCTCGCGGTGCTAGAAGCGCGTCCCGATGCCATAATTGTTAGTTTTGAGTGTCTGAGAGGAGGAACGGATATTGGCGTAACTGGGTTGAAGGTTTCAAACTTATATTGAATGTGGTGATATAGTGCGAGCTAATATAGAGCGAGCTGATATATCGTATAATAATGTAACACGTAGAGGGATGATTCGTAGAGGTGTAACGTGTGGCCATATAATACGTGGCGATACAACGCGTGGTAATATAATGTACGGTGATTCAACGCGAAACGGCTATATAACGCGCGGTAGTGATGGACAACGGCAGATAAACAATTTCTTAATTTGAAAATTTACAAGTTTTAACATTTGCATATTTGTAATTTTGCAAATTGTCAAATTTGTTAAACTTGCAAATTTCCATGTTTTTAAATTTTGAAATTGTGACAGTATTGAATTTTTAGATTTATAAGTTGGAAAATTGGGAAGTTGGGAAATTGATAAATTGGGGAAATGGGAAATTAGGAAAACAGTACACTGGGAAATTGGGAAACAGTACAGTTGGGAAATTCAAAAATAGGGAAATTGAAAATTAGGAAATTGGGAAATTGGAAAATTGGAAAATTGGAAAATTGGAAAATTGGAAAATTGGAAAATTGGAAAATTGGAAAATTGGAAAATTGGAAAATTGGAAAATTGGAAAATTGGAAAATTGGAAAATTGGAAAATTGGAAAATTGGAAAATTGGAAAATTGGAAAATTGGAAAATTGGAAAATTGGAAAATTGGAAAATTGGAAAATTGGAAAATTGGAAAATTGGAAAATTGGAAAATTGGAAAATTGGAAAATTGGAAAATTGGAAAATTGGAAAATTGGAAAATTGGAAAATTGGAAAATTGGAAAATTGGAAAATTGGAAAATTGGAAAATTGGAAAATTGGAAAATTGGAAAATTGGAAAATTGGAAAATTGGGGAAATGGAAAGTTAGGAAAATAGGCCATTGGAAAATTGGAAAATAGTGCAGTTGGAAAACTCAACCATAGGGAAATTGAAAATTGGAAAATTGTAAACTTGGAAACTTGGAAACTTGGAAAATTGGAAAATTGGTAAACTGGGAAATTGGAAAATGTGAAAATTGGAAAGTTGGAAAACTAGGAAATTGGATAATGGGAAAATTAAACGGATGAACATTAGGAAAATTGGGAAAATTGCCCAATTGAGAAATTAGGAAATAGAAGAATTAAGAAACTAGACAATTGGAAAATTGGAAAACGTAGTAATTTAAATATTTGTAATTACTAAATTCACATATTTCTAAAATACTACATATCTAAATTTCCAAAGTAAATTAATTTTCTCTTTGCAAAATTAAAAAGTTCTCAAAACCTCAATAATTATCAAATTTCTAAATTGAAATTGAAATTCCAAATATGAGAACGATTATGTATTACTCGAGTTACATGTCCATCACAGGCCTCACATATGACCATAAAGTACGCGGCAATATAACGCGTGGCAATGTACCGCACAGTAATTACCTCCTCCAGAACTTAGTTACGCCAATAAGAACATCTAAAATCCGCTCGTACAATCAACGCATTCAACTTCAAAAAATTGGAAAATTGGAAAATTGGAAAATTGGAAAATTGGAAAATTGGGGAAATGGAAAGTTAGGAAAATAGGCCATTGGAAAATTGGAAAATAGTGCAGTTGGAAAACTCAACCATAGGGAAATTGAAAATTGGAAAATTGTAAACTTGGAAACTTGGAAACTTGGAAAATTGGAAAATTGGTAAACTGGGAAATTGGAAAATGTGAAAATTGGAAAGTTGGAAAACTAGGAAATTGGATAATGGGAAAATTAAACGGATGAACATTAGGAAAATTGGGAAAATTGCCCAATTGAGAAATTAGGAAATAGAAGAATTAAGAAACTAGACAATTGGAAAATTGGAAAACGTAGTAATTTAAATATTTGTAATTACTAAATTCACATATTTCTAAAATACTACATATCTAAATTTCCAAAGTAAATTAATTTTCTCTTTGCAAAATTAAAAAGTTCTCAAAACCTCAATAATTATCAAATTTCTAAATTGAAATTGAAATTCCAAATATGAGAACGATTATGTATTACTCGAGTTACATGTCCATCACAGGCCTCACATATGACCATAAAGTACGCGGCAATATAACGCGTGGCAATGTACCGCACAGTAATTACCTCCTCCAGAACTTAGTTACGCCAATAAGAACATCTAAAATCCGCTCGTACAATCAACGCATTCAACTTCAAAATAGTACAAAAAGAAAGCATCAAAAACAAAAACTTAACACAAACGAACGAACAGTTAATAACAAAATAGCGTTGAACGAACACGAAACGATAAATTGTACCATCCATAAGTAACATATCCATAAGATGTAAGACCTCCATTTGCCACTATGTGGAAGCGCTTCGTAGCAACTTGCCATTTTCTTCTTCGTTTTTTTTTTTTGTGAAATCGGCATTATCTTGTCCCAGTTCTTGTGATAAAGATCGGGAGTTCGAAACGAACTCTTTTGTACATATATATACACACGAATTAGCAATTGTATATGCGGTGAAATGGATATTCCATGAATGGGCGTGATAATAATGATTCATCTTGTTCTGAACATGCACTCGAACGTTAATTTATTAGTATTGTAATCGACTGACAGACTCTAGAAACCCTTTGGTTACAGTCACATAATAATTATGTCTTACGCCATTTTTTAAAAATTAATGGCGCGAAATTTGATTTGTAAAAAATGGTAAATTTTAACTGAAAGATGAAAGTTACATAAATAACAAATTTTTATTAGTTTTATTACAGAAAAGTATTTTGTGGGAATATTATGTGTAAACTCACATTTAAATGCAGATATTTTAATGATCTTACTTTTATGACAAGAGGGTATTGCACTTTGCATACATATGAGAAGTGCAAAGTTTTCCTAATTGTATTTTAATATTTATCCGTATATTATTTATAAATATTTGTTTTTCATGTTATTGAATACTTTGTGTTGCATAATTCATTAATATGAAACGATTTATTTGTATAAATATTTGTTATTTGTGTAACTTATATCATTTAGATCAAATACACCGTTATTACAATTTGAATTTCGCGGTACGAACTCCACCGCAAGATGGCGGCATCGATCAGATCGACACCGTTATTTCGTGACTCTGATTGGAGGGTCTCTGACAGGTACGAAGTGAAACCGTGTTTAAAATTGTTCTTTTCAAAACAAACCGAGTCTGTCCGTGATTGTATACTGTTTTAATTAATTTTGCATAACGAAATTTGTCACGCTCAAATTAGGATCAATTTGCGAATCGTCGAGATTCCGTCGGAAGCGTAGGCGTGTAATTTAAGAGGTCTTCATTATTAGAAAGAATATATCGGAAGTTAACGACTTTAGTTGTAGACGTTTAAGAAATCATCATTGTAGTCCATAATTTAACGTTTAAGTATATCAGCGACAGAAATGAATTTTTATAGTATCACAATTATTATTATAGTGTCTGTTACATTGATAGATGAAGAAAAAATGAGGAACGATTATGAAAGATTATGAATCGGTTGTTGTGACGTTAAAGAGGTTAGGTTACAGGAGTAGACTCTTGTTATGTTGTCGTTATGATTTCGAACTCGGAAACTTTTATTTTATCTCATTTTGTGAGAATTAATTAATAACTGTAAAAATAGCCATATATCGAAAAATATGGTATTTGGAATACAATCATTCCATTTTTTGAAGTAAACATTTTATTTGTTACTAGAAGTGTTACTATCGATTATTAACAAATATTGATATTGGAATGTTGTCGATAATTCGATATATCGATAACATATCGTTTGATAGAAATTTTTTCTAATTTTCAAAATTATAAATTCATAAATTTACACAATTTTAAAATTCTAAATTTCTGAATTTCCAAGTTCCTATTTTAATAGTATCGATATGTGTATATCAATAACGTCGATAATCGATAGTTAAACTTCTACTTGTTATCACTTGTAAATAATTTAATCCTTCATTGCATTATTCAAATATTCTTACATTAATTATTGTATCTTTCCAAATATAAATAAGGTAGAATTACTCAAATTATTTTAAATTGATCAAATACATTTTTGTCTGTTATACATATATTTTGTTTCGCGTTCATATAATGTAAACATGCAACAACATAAATTCACAAACTTAAATAATTTTGTTTAAATAAATTTGTAATATAGAAAAAATTTATTTACTGTTATTTATTTATTGAAAAATTCCTGCAAGGAAGGATTAATTTTAATAATACACAAAAGTAATTTTTTCATTATTTGATAATTGGAAGTTTAAATAATTTATTAAATTAATTTATATTTTTACAGATCAAATTGAAATTACAAAAATGCTTTCAAATGTCGAAAACGTATGAAGTATGTCACAAGTGTATGCAGTAGTTGAAGTGAAAACGGCAATATAACAAGAGTCCACTGCACCGTCGTTCGTAGGATCCCATAGAGAAAAGTATGGGTTCTATCCCGATTACATTGAATCAGTATTTGTTACACGAATCGAATTACTATAATTACGCGTTAGTTTTAACGATTGCTCGATTATGTATGATGAACATACTGACCTACTGTATTGTAATAGCGTCTCTCCCTCTCGACAGTATGTCATTCCGTCCACCAATCGATAAGATTGCTCAAGAATCTTTAACATAAGATTAGAGTACCAATAAAACGTATGTCGCACTTACATTTCATTTTTTTATAAATATATACATAATATAGATATAATAACCGTAGCCATTTCGATAGAACAAATATACAGGGCGTTCCATAAAAAGCGGTCTCCTCCGATATCTCAGAAATTATTCACGCTATCAAAAAATGTTTTGAATAAAATTTGAAGGATTTTGGATGACAGATGATTTGATGTTAAATTTTTTGTAGGAGTCAAGGAGTGGAGGAGTGGAGTCAAGGACATATGAAGGTCAACTTAATTTTTTCATGGGACCACATATTTTATATAAAATTAAATAATATTAAATTATTTTATTATACTAAATAATATTAAATTATTTAATTTTTATTTGAAATATTTTCTGGTATAATTTCAGAGATATGAGAGGGTTTTTAATTGGACATTGTGTATATTGCAATTATTGTCTGTTATAAAAATCGAACAAAATTTGAGAGAATATCTCTTCCATCGAATGGCACGATTTGTATTGTTACGATATTTTCTTTTCTGTCTTTCTTCTTATTTTGTGTCAATAGTTGAGTAGAGTTAGAGAAACGGACCTGAGATATATATATATTTTTTAATACCTTAACGAAATATATGTTTGTACAAAAACAGAGAATGGAATATTTGGTGAAAAATGTTGAGACAAATACTCGTTCACAATTGTATAGAAAATGATCACATGTATCATGTTATTAATTCTTTTTTCTTTTCTTTTGATAAAGATAAATGGAATATTTCAGTAGAAAATCTGTGTAACGGATCCATCTTTGTTGTTGTTTGTTAAGTACTTGTAATGTCTTCTACTGCGGATACGAATAAATCGAGTAATATTATAATAAATATTTCGCTAGTGTACAGAATTTATCTAGATAAAATGTTTTCTTCAATTTGGTTTTTGTTATTTACGAATTTATTCACACTTATGATGATTATTTTATTGAGTGGTTATTTGTAGTTTGGGGAGCTGTGGAATTTCAAATTTGAGAATATGAGAATTTTTTAATTTTGGAATTTGAGATTTTGGGAATTTAAGATTTTAATAGAATTTGAAAATTTGAGAATTTGAGAATTTGAGAATTTGGTAATTTGAGAATTTAAGAATTTGGTAATTTGAGAATTTAAGAATTTAAGAATTTAAGAGCTTGAGAATTTGAGAATTTGAGAATTTTGGAATTCGAGAATTCTGGAATTTGAGAATTCCGGAATTTGAGGATTTTGGAACTTGAGAATTTAAAAATTTAAAAATTTTAAAATTTAAGAATTTGAGGAATTGAGATTTCAAAATTTTGAGCCTTTGGTAAAATGTAGTAGAACCATTAATAAAAAAAAAATAAAAAATAGTGCAAAACCGACTAAAAAATAGGCGTCCATCTGGCGGCGAAACAGGTGGACTAAAACTAAGAAATTAGGGTCCGAACACGCATATAAGGAAAATAAAAAAATGAATACTTCGGGACTTTGACGACGTAGTATGGTTCCTGAGGCATTTGGAAACAAATTTGTATTAGGGTTTGATGCGTTTTGATGCCTAATAAAGCCAGAAAAGCAATTTCTGTCGGATTCGGTCCCGGTACCGGTGGCGCCATCTAGCGGCGAGCGACGGAACTACGAAAAAATAAAATTTTGATTTTCTCCAAAATTAGGCAATTTTACGTATTTCTGAGGGTCAGAAATTGTTCTCTGACCTCTCTAGAACCTATATAATGCCACAACAACCTCTTCAAAGCGCTAGAAAAGAAAATAAAAAAATAGGTCAAAACATGGACTAAAAAATTGGCGTCCATCTAGCGGTGATAACTGGAACTACAAAAAATAAAAATTTCAATTTTCTCGAAAACTAGCGAATTTGAAGTACTTCTGAGGGTCAGAAAGTGTTATGTGATCGCATTAGAAGCAAAATAATGCAATAAAAGCTTCCTAAAGGCTTTAATAAAGAAAATAAAGAAAATGTCATTTTACGGGGAAAATTTGTGGCGCCATCTAGCGGCGAAACTGCGAACTAAACTGAAAAACGTATGCCCATACACGCGTTAAAGAAAAATATAAAAAGTAATATTTCGCAACTTTGACAACGTAGTACGCTTCTTTAGACATCTTAAAGCAATGTTTGTTGAATAAGTTATTCATTTTTTTGCTTATTAAGCCTAGAAAATCATTTTTTATTTGACCGCTTTACTGCGGGTTCGGAAATATGTTTTTCAGTTTAGTTCGCAGTTTCGCCGCTAGATGGCGCCACAAATTTTCCCCGTAAAATGACATTTTCTTTATTTTCTTTATTAAAGCCTTTAGGAAGCTTTTATTGCATTATTTTGCTTCTAATGCGATCACATAACACTTTCTGACCCTCAGCTCAGAAGTACTTAAAATTCGCTAGTTTTCGAGAAAATCGAAATTTTTATTTTTTGTAGTTCCAGTTATCACCGCTAGATGGACGCCAATTTTTTAGTCCATGTTTTGACCTATTTTTTTATTTTCATTTCTAGCGCTCTGAGGAGGTTCTTATGGCATTGTATAGGTTCTAGAGAGGTCACAAAACAATTTCTGACCCTCAGAAATACGTCAAATTGCTCAATTTCGAAGAAAATCGAAATTTTAGTTTTTCGTAGTTCCGTCGCTCGCCGCTAGATGGCGCCACCTGTACCATTTTGGACCGAATCCGACAAAAATTGCTTTTCTTGCTTTATTAGGCATCAAAACGCATCAAACCCTAATAGAAATTTGTTTCTGAATGCCTCAGGAACCATACTACGTCGCCAAAGTGCCGAAATATTGCACTTTCCATGCGCCGTAGAATTGACATAGGCGGCTCATGTACGTATCGCAATGCTGACACAAAATAATTAATTACTCGTTACCCGAACATTATTTATGAACTTTTATGACCGAACCATGTAAATATTGCATTGCTGAGCATTATTCAATCATAAAAGTGCACAAAATATATCCACAAAACGTATAATTAATTATTCAAAATGACCTCGTATATACCGCTTGTCACCGTGGCTGGCCTTAGGTTATTAGTTAATAACTAATTAATTTCATTAAAAATCTGAACAAATATGATACGAGAAAGTAGCTGAAGGATCACTGAACATTCTTTTATAATTAAAGTGCATTAATTGTGTTTAGAAAATGTGTTATTAATTATTTCAAATTAGCTCATGCGTACGATGTATTCCGCCGACTTCGTGTTGGATATTAATTAATAACTAATTATTTACAATGAAAATGTGAACATATATGGTATGAAAAAGTAGCTAGGGAATCACTGAACACTCTTTAATCATAAAAGTTCATAGACTGATTTGAAAGTGAGTAATTAACGAATTTGCATACTCATTATCGGGTATATTCCTCCTGCGCGCCGCCCGCGCATGCCACGGAGGAATAATCACCGAAAAACCATATCCCCGTAGACTTTAATGCAAAATTGAATTTGCTCGCACTTATGTACTTGACTTTTCAACTTTTTTGTCACCGTTTTTCTCTTGCACCACTTAACCAATTCAGCCGGATGACACAGTTGACTATTTTTGCTTTAGCGTGAAAGTTACTCGGTCGCTCAACATTATTAAGTTAGGCGCGAAGCGCCTCAATCAAAAATTCAAAATTTCTGAAGGCGTATTATTTCAAATTTGGCTCCATTAGTTTCTACCGTTGACCACTAGATGACGTCACAAGTACCATTTTGAAACGAATTAAATAAATACTGATTTTTTAGGCTTAATCGACAATAAAATGCATCCAATGTTAATAAGAATTTATCTTAGAATTTCTCAAGGAACGTAATATGTCCAGAAAGTTATTAAATATGACTTTTTATATTTTTCCAATATACGTGTTCGGTCATGCATTTTTTTCAATTAGTTCCTCTGTTTCGCCGCTAGATGGCGCTGTGCCTTTTCTTAGAAAAATATTTTTTTTACTTTCATTTCTAGAGCTTTCAGCAAGCTTTTATGACATTATTTTACTTCTAATTTGATCATATAATAGTCCTTAAGCCCCCAATATACTTAGTTTTCTAATTTTGTCAAAAATCGCATTTTCTTATTTTTAAGATTCTTTTATTTGATTTTGAGTTTTTGAGATTTTTTGAATTTCAGCTTTCAAGATGATGAGATTTTAGAATTCGATAATGTAAATAGTTGGGAATTTAAGAGTTTAAGAATTTGAGAATTTGGGAGGTTAGGAATTTGAGAATTTATGCCTTTGAGCTTTTTTAACTTTTTAAATTTGAGATTTTGAATTTTTGAGAATATAGAGAGTTGAGAATTTAGGAATTTTAAATTTTGAAATTTTAAACTTTTGAATTTTCAAGCTTCTGACAATTTGAACTTTTAAAAATGTAAACTTTTGAAATTTGGAGAATTTTAAATTCTCTTAATTTTTTATTTTGAGCTTCTCAGAATTCGTGCTTTTGAGCTTTTGGGAATTTGATAATTTGAGGTTACGAACATTTCAGAGAACGCTTTTCTTCACTTGTACAAAAACACAATTTCAAAAATTGTTTAAAAAAACCTGTGGTAAGCTTTACAATAAAGAACAGACTAAACACAAAATACCAAACAAAAATATGGATAAGAAATATAAATTACTAAATATCATTTCATAAATCATTCTTTATTTACACTTTTGTATCTTTAAAGTACCTTAATTCACTTGAGCAAATTAAAACGTAATTTTCACTGAACGATACACTCGTAATTCATTCGATTAAAATCCTTAATTGCACGAAAATGTACATTCGTCAATAAAAGTTTCTAAAGTGTTCCTAAACGTACAACTCACTCGGAACAAACTCTAATAATTAACAACTAACATTTTCTACCGTTTAATTAAAATTCAATTAACTTCATAATTGCGTTCGTGAAAAAAATTCACGATTCATATAGTACGTATGTATGTAGGAATGTATGTGCGTGCACTTTTGCAAAATATAAATACATTATATTCATTTTACAGTTGCAAGCCGGTGCATACTTGCACGTAGCAAAATTAATTATGTAGTTTCTGTACGGTTATACAAACTTTTCGATAACCCTCGTCGTTACAAATGTCTAATTGACATCGTTCATAATTCTATCCCCTTAACCGAACGTACATTCGTTGAAATTTTTTAAAAACGAGATACAGCTTTTCATTGCTTTCAATTGTACTTATCGTTTGTTTGCTTAAATATTACAATAAGAATCTTTGATAACAATAATTCTAATTTTGCAAGAGAATTACAATTCAAATGAAATATTTTGCATAGAATTAAAATTTATATACATACATTTTATAAACTTGAGGAAGATAAACAATGGAAGTCGAATTTAACAAAATATATAGCGCATTGCAAAAGTAATAACAGTTAAAATATCCACGCGATTTTAACAAACATTTAAAATAGTAAACATTTTGATTGTTAATTGTAAAGGTTGAGAAACGCTAAATTGTACTGTTCGTTATTTTAAGAAAATATTTTACCGAATGTAATCTAAACTCTATGAGTTATTTACTTTGACAATGGTTTTCAAGATCAATGCAAGGTTTGGAAACGATACGTTTAGCGCCATCTGACGATAAAATAAACAATTTGTTTTTCTTAACGTAAACGATTTTAAAATAAAAGTAACTATTACTGAGGTAATGTAGTCGGAGTAATAACAGTGTTTACGTCATTGAAATTTGTAATTTAGGAAAAATATATTTCACGAACCAAGAAACACTGTAATGACGGTGACACTTCCTAATTAATCGAATTTCAAATATTTAAAAACTTGTGTATTTAAATATGCCTTAAACTTTAAATATTTTATCCTGAAAAGCTCATCTTTAAATTCATATATTTGCATATCTTTATTAACGAGTTAAACTGAATAATTACAAAACGAAAGACTTTGTCAAAAAACCGCCAAAAAGGCAGTCTTTAAAGCCGCCATATTTGGCGGGAAATCATTCAATTATGAACAACACATTACATCACTGCAACTCTAAAAAATGTTTATCTTACCATTTCTATTATTCCCAATACACTAAATACGTCATTTAAAATTATTTCAAATATAATATTGATAAAAAATATCTTACAAGTTCTAATAATATAGTTTCATTAATTCTAAGCTCCTACCACCAGATGGTTATAGTGTTTCTTGGTCCATGAATTGCTAAATTTTCAAATTACCAATTCTAACATGCTAAGCAATACGTAGCAGTACTCTGATTGCATTTACATCGTAGAACGTTCTACTTGCATCAAAAAATCGTAAAAGTTATTTTACGAAAAATAACAATTTTCTGTCGTTTCGCTATGCGCCACTAGATGGCGCTACCTGCGCCATTTTTTTTTTTTAAATATTCCTTGATAGAAAATTATGTATTGCACATTTCCAACTTACTAAATTAATTACTTTAATTAACGATGTTCTCGCTTGTTACTTTACGAACTAAATATCTATATCCTTCGAATTACAAATGTAAATGGCAATGTTAAAAAATGAACAACTCTGAGACTGAACTGGTATTTATAAATATTAAAAAAATAAAAAACAGATGTGCATCCTATAACTAATGAGATATGTATAATATTAATAAATAGTTTCTTGTTTCTTATGATATGTATAATAATATTAAAATAAGAGAAGAAAGAGAGATACTAATTATTATATTATTATAATTAATGCACAATCTTCTCAATGTCACCTAAAATATAATTTTAAGTTCAGTTTCAAAATTGTTCTTTTTTAACCGCAATCTTCCATCTACGCATCTAGCAGTAATATCACAAATATGAATTCTCTTGCGTATTGTCAACACATGGAAATGATGCTTGTTTGTGAATAAAAAAATATCCTAAGAAATGAAGTTAACGAGTATCTTTTACCGATTATTTATCTCGGTGCAGACTAATGGCATTCGTGTCGTATATGTATCGTATCTTCGTAAAAATTGACTATGTTTTAATTAACTAGCATCGATATGTATTCGCTTATTGCACTTGTTCTCACAACCAGCCGAAATCCATCCCGGTTAATTGGTAGAAACGTTGATTAAATGGACGATAAAAATCTCTCAATCGTTGTATGGCTACAGGATCTATATAAGGATGACTACGACCCTTGTTCTTACCTTAAAATTATAGGTTAATATTACATATTTGACAGAGTATAAAGCGTGGTTGTAGATATAGTCTACAATATAGCGTGGTTGTAAAATTGAAATATGTGATTTGAGAATTTGGAATTTTTTTAAGATCAAATTTTGAAAACAGAAATTTTGTCATTGTTGATTTTCTGAATTTTGAAACTTTTGAATTTTCAAATTTCTAAATTTCCAAGTTCTTAAATTTTTAGAATCATAAATTGGTAAATTTACAAATTTACAAATTTACAAATTTACAAATTTACAAATTTACAAATTTACAAATTTACAAATTTACAAATTTACAAATTTACAAATTTACAAATTTACAAATTTACAAATTTACAAATTTACAAATTTACAAATTTACAAATTTACAAATTTACAAATTTACAAATTTACAAATTTACAAATTTACAAATTTACAAATTTACAAATTTACAAATTTACAAATTTACAAATTTACAAATTTACAAATTTACAAATTTACAAATTTACAAATTTACAAATTTACAAATTTACAAATTTACAAATTTACAAATTTACAAATTTACAAATTTACAAATTTACAAATTTACAAATTTACAAATTTACAAATTTACAAATTTACAAATTTACAAATTTACAAATTTACAAATTTACAAATTTACAAATTTACAAATTTACAAATTTACAAATTTACAAATTTACAAATTTACAAATTTACAAATTTACAAATTTACAAATTTACAAATTTACAAATTTACAAATTTACAAATTTACAAATTTACAAATTTACAAATTTACAAATTTACAAATTTACAAATTTACAAATTTACAAATTTACAAATTTACAAATTTACAAATTTACAAATTTACAAATTTACAAATTTACAAATTTACAAATTTACAAATTTACAAATTTACAAATTTACAAATTTACAAATTTACAAATTTACAAATTTACAAATTTACAAATTTACAAATATTTACAGATTTACAGATTTACAGATTTACAGATTTACAGATTTACAGATTTACAGATTTACAGATTTACAGATTTACAGATTTACAGATTTACAGATTTACAGATTTACAGATTTACAGATTTACAGATTTACAGATTTACAGATTTACAGATTTACAGATTTACAGATTTACAGATTTACAGATTTACAGATTTACAGATTTACAGATTTACAGATTTACAGATTTACAGATTTACAGATTTACAGATTTACAGATTTACAGATTTACAGATTTACAGATTTACAGATTTACAGATTTACAGATTTACAGATTTACAGATTTACAGATTTACAGATTTACAAATTTATAAATGTACGAATTTACAAATGTACAAATGTACAAATGTACAAATTTACAAATTTACAAATTGACAAATTTATGATTCTAGAAATTTAAAAACTTGCAAATTAAGAAATTTACCAAGTCAACAATGACAAAATTATATACATCATACACAGTGTAAAATATACATATATACATGTTTATACATATATTCCCTAATATATTGTTCTCATATCATAAAATATACTAACACCATTCAAAATAAAACTTCCCTATTTTTGTTAACAAACTCACCAAGGCAATGGGGTGTAGGATGTTCCTCAGATTTGAGCAGACAAGGGAATCCTTTGGTGGCGTTGAAATAAAAATGTTTCTCGCATATAACTCTCTTTAGGCCTAAGAAATCTTGCACCCTGGTGATCTCGGCGACCGGGTCCGCGATCAATCTCTCTCCAGATACAAACAAGAATTGCGACAACGGAAAATATTGCAGCCACCTCTCCAAGTGTCTCGCGTACACACCGATCTTCAACGGTACCCACGTGGTATCCACGATCTTCGAGCCATTCAGGAACGCTAGATCTTCGAATTTTGGCATATTGGCCCGTTTACTCTTCACTTGGGTATAATCGGATATTGCTCGCGTAACCGGATCTCTTACTACGAGAATCAATTTCATCGCCGGATTCATGCGTTGAACTCGTCTCGGAACCTCGCTCGTCACGAAATACGATGGTGTTTTCTCCATCGTAATTTGAGTGGCCAATGTAGGGGGCATACGATGCCTGAAATGTATCGTCAAATGAAAAATTATCGTTTAATTTAATTGTTAAATTGTCCGATATTTTCTTAATTATATTTAATGGGGACTGAGGTTAACGCAAATGTTAATAATATTAGTACTATAGTAATACTACTATAATACCACATAAATAGCCATTATCATTGTATAATTGTTATTATACTAGTTGTAATTACGACGTAAGTATTACGTACTGATAATACTATTAGTAATAGTAGAGGTTAACTCTCGAGCAAAGGGGGTAAACGGATATGTGATGAGATAGATCTAGTGCAAGAAAGGACTTATGATAAATGTGATGTGAGTCATGTATAAGGTTATGGTAAAAAAAAGTGTGGTCGATACAGAGTGTTATGTAGTGTAAGAATGTATAAAGTGGGGCAAATGTGACGAGTGTGAGTAGAGATGTAAATTTGAGAATTTGAAAATTTGGAAATTGGAAATTGGAAATCTGGAATTTGGGAAATTTAAAGTTTGGAAAATTGGAAATTTGGAATTTTGAAATTTTGAAATTTTGAATTTTATAATTTGGAAATTTGGAAATTTGGAAATTTGGAAATTTTGAATTTGGAAATTTGGTAATTTGGAAATTTTGGAATTTTGGAATTTTGAAATATGGAATTTGGAAATTTTAAATTTGGAATTTGGAAATTTTTGAATTTTGAAATTTGGAATTTGGGAATTTGGGAATTTGGAAATTTGGGAATTTTCGAATTTTGGAATTTTGAAATTTTGAATTTTAAAATTTGGGAAATTTGGAATTTGGAAATTTTAAATTTGGAATTTGGAAATTTGGGAATTTGGAAATTTGGAATTTGGAAATTTTGAATTTTAAAATTTGGGAAATTTGGAATTTGGAAATTTTAAATTTGGGAATTTGGAAATTTGGAATTTGGAAATTTGGAATTTGGAAATTTGGGAATTTTGGAATTTGGAAATTTGGAAATTTTGAATTTTGGAATTGGGAATTTTGTTATTTTGTTATTTGGGAATTTGGGAATTTAGGAATTTAGGAATTTTGGAATTTGGAAATTTGGAAATTTGGAAATTTGGAAATTTGGAAATTTGAATTTTGGAATTTTGGAATTTGGAAATTTGGGAATTTGGGAATTTGGGAATTTGGGAATTTGGGAAATTTGAAATTTGAAATTTTAGAATTTTGGAATTTGGAATTTGGAATTTGGAATTTAGAATTTTGAAATTTGGAATTTGGAATTTGGAATTTGGAATTTTGAATTTTGAAATTTGGAATTTTGAAATTTGGTGTTTTGAAATTTGGAATTTTGAAATTTGGAAATTTGGAATTTGGAATTTGGAATTTGGAGTTTTGAAATTAGGAAATTTGAAATTTGGCAATTTTGGAATTTGGGAATTTAAGAAAATTTGCAAAAGTTTAACAAAATTTGAGGAATTTTAAGGAAATTCAATTTAAAAAAATTATCGAGAATTAAAATTTGAAAAATGAGAACCGTACAACATACCTGTACCAATGGAATCCTTTGATATAATGATGATCAAAAAAGTGTACTTCCGAGCCTGCGGCTCGAATGGCCGGATGTAGCCTGAGAAACTCTAACAGGGCTCTAGTTCCGCCTTTTTTCACGCCGATAATCAATGCGGTTGGCAATTGTTTGCTAGGAATTAAACCCTGCTGCCTCAACACCTGATACTTTCGCAGGGTTGCTGAGGTTCCTTTAACGCTGCCGTTGCCTGTCCAAAGTGACACCACTTGAACTTTCGATAATTTCGAGCGTTTCGATTCGACATCGTTTATCAAAAAGGATTCCTTGACAATTAGATGGTCGAGATTCGGATCGACCATGTGCGCAGAGTAAACGGAATTTCTGGGTTTTTGTAGGGTTGCTTTGCCGGACAGACCGACGAGAAGTAAGGAATTGTCGATTAGAAAGATCCAGATAAGAATTACCAGAAAACAGGCCGGAACTAGGATTTTTTTCGACCACAGCCCTTTTCGAACTTCCATACTGAACTTAAGAATCGTCGTACTTTACTGGCATCCTGGATTCCATTATATCACTTTCAGTCTTTTACTTCCATGCTGATATGTTAGGACAGAGCGATTTTTTTTTCTTTATCGTATCTACAATTAGTTATGAACGTTTTAAGTGTGAATTTATGTTTAAAAATTATTGGGAAAATTATTATAGTAGAAATTTTAGGGTAACATAATTTAAGAATATGGATACATGAAATTTTTAGATTTATGAATATGGAAGTTTGTATTTGAAAGTTTTAGACTTGCAAATTTTTTAATTTTCATATTTGGAAATATGGGGGTTACAATTTTTTAATTTAGAAATTTAGTCATTTGGAATTTTAAAATTTCAATACTTGGCAATATAGAAATATTAATGTTAAATATTTACAATTGTAAAACTCAAACATATAGAAATTCAACATTTTCCAATTTTTAGATTTTGTGATTTAAAATTTGGAAATACAGAAATTTTAAATTTAAAAAATTACATCTTCAGAAATTTAAAAATATAGAAACCTCAAATTTTTAAATTTAGAAATATAAATTAAAAATTTTCAAATTTAGAACTACAGAAATTTAGTAATGTGAACATTTAAAAATTTAAATATTTAGAAACACAATTTGTAATTTAAAAATTTTTTAAATTTTGTAATACAAAAATTTCTTCTAGACAGCTTCAAAACAGTAAAACTGCAGTAGCGTAGCTAATTAGGGGCCAGAATGTACCCTGCCCTCTAAATTCAAACTCGTGCATTCCAAAATTCGACTTGCACTCAAAAATGTAAATTACTTCTGTGAAATGCAGACTAACCTAAAACATGAAATAATTACCCCCAAAATGTGCATTAGGTCCCTCTCCACAAAATGTAATTAAATCCAGTCCTGTCATAAAAATTATACAAACATATATTGTGACTTTATTATTTTAGGAATATTTACTATGTTATTTAACTCTACAATAAAAATGATAAAGAATAAATATTGTATTAGGATAATAATATGATAATTAAGTACGTTATAGTAATTTAAGTACCCATGTAATTATAACGTAGCAATTCATTGTGACAAGCAGAAAAAAGTAACGAGTTTACGTTATACTCATTACGCGTAACGATCGGCCATGTTTCTAAGCTTGAATGGTTGCATTCATTCAGGGTGATATATTGGAAAACTTTTTTGCGTAACGTATACATTGCAGCAAAAAATAATCGAAAAATAAATTTTTGTTAATGTAAAAAATCAAAGATATAGTAATTTAATAATTTATAATTGGACTCATTGTTAAGGTAGTCTTAAAAATATTTAAATGCATATATTTAATAAAGATCGTAACCTTTTGTTTATTAAATTATTGTGAATATTATTATTGTGAATAATATTATTATTTTATTGCATTGCTATTGTTATTGCATCCAATCACATCATTATCATTTTGATCAGTCAATCATTAGCATTTGTTAAATTGTTATATTGTTAACAATTGCTTCAGACTACTATTGTTATAAAATATTAAAAAGAATAATTACTATTGCATTATAGGAAATAATAAAAGAATTGAAGTTAAATAAACATAATTATATAATAATTTATTTAATGACAATGATATACATTAAACTTAACAAAATTCTTTAAGTTATAAATAAAGAACAATTAAATTAAATTAATTATCTAATAATATGGTTAATAGCAACTACAACAATAATAACAATACTTGAAAAAAATACTAAGTATTTTTTAATACTGTAACTTAAAAAAATAATACCATTTTCATTTGGAATAAAAATACAGTCATCGTTACATGAACTTAGTTATTTATTAACTTATTTACTTGCAATAATAGCATTCCTTAAATTACAACAGTTTTAAGCTATTATCCAAATATAAATAATTACAACTTTTCTAAAAATACTGAGAACAACAAAAATCTTAACATTCTCAAAAGAAACAAGAATAAAAAATGTAACTAAACTAAATTACTAAATAATTTCTTTAATTACAACAGCAGCAGTCGAACCCATCACTATTACTGTTATCAAAAAACAAGTCTTATTATGCAACTTTCTCTATGAAAATATTCAGATTAAAATCTTATATAATATTAAGAGTCACAATAACAACATTCTGAACAGAAACATAAATGAAACGCAGAACTTAATAATTACGTTCTAAATTGAGAGAAACGAAGTTAATATACAAAAGTCCATACAAACATCGCGAATGAAGATAACCAGCATGCTCAAAGTACATAAATTACCGAAAAAAAATATTTACACGTTTATTGCATCAACTTACCTCCATGCCGCACAATATTCAAGCGCACGTTATTTTTACTGCGGCATACATGATACCGATCGTATCACGATATTCGATTCTTTTCAGCGAGTAAACGCGAGGATATGTGATTTCGATTAAAGGAAGTGCACATTTAACGCATTATCAGGCGGCGCGTTCGTAACAATCGATAACGCGGAGCAAAGTAGAAGGGAGAGACGTTGTAGAACACGAAGCGTATCAATGAAATTCCATAACTGCCGAACGGTCCTCTAACCAAAGATTAAAATCGAACTTCATTCCGGCCAGATGTCTGCCGATTCGTTTTTATATCGAAACATGATGCAACGTTTATTAATCGCATCGCGCTCTTAGGAACGTTTCCCTCTCGTGTTGCTCGACAACATAGTTGTGTCGAAGTGTGGCTGCGAATCACGACTCTAGCGCCACCCCGCTTGATAACTTGGAAACTGACCAAAAAATGTTATAGATCTTATGATATCGAGTGACCAAACCGAGCTGAAAATCGGAATAACGTGGACGAAAGGATCGAGAAGCAATCGAACGAAAACTTTTATTCACGCATGATTTATGAAACGCGGAAGTAATATACAGTTGGTTACAAAAGTATGCGCTAGGATAAAATCAGACGTGCAAATAAATTAAATTATCTTATTTATTTGAACTAGTAAACGCTAGTTTATTTTAACCTTTACCGTAAAATGTTTCGATACGAAATAAGGTTATTAAATTGTGACACGAAATGAAGGTTATTAAATTATTTGATCTCCGATTTGTTTTAAATTTCGATCGTGGTCTTTGAGAGGTTGTAAAATTACTTAAATATTACGATAGATAAAATTAGAAGATATGGGGGAAATAAGGATGTTATAAAAGTTGGAACTGCAGAAAGATATATTTCATAGACTTGGAAATGTTTTCTTCGTTTTTGCTTTTATTATGGTCCACTTGCACCTGCTTCCTTGGGATTATACATATTGATATATGTGAAATTAAAACATATATATATTGTAGTCATTTTTTTAATATCCATAGATTCTGTTATAAATTTGAATTTACTTATTGTTTATTGACAAATTATTTAGTAATATTATTTAGTATATTTTGTATATCTTCATATCATTCTAATCATATTAAAAATATATATTTTGTTACAGACTTTTGTAAATTCCAAATGGGTTCAATGGCATTAACAGATAGGGATTACAAACATGTTTTACATTTATGGGATTAATATTAATTTTTTAATGTTTCTACTGGAATGTAAAGTCGAATACTTTTGTGACTAACTGTATTGAGCGACGGAACGGAAAACTATATTTTTCGTTTTTTTCTAATGAGATGTTAATGTAAGTGGAATAGCAGTTTCGATTTTACCGGTTAAGACCGGTTATTACCGGCTAAGATATGTTTTTTAAACATTTAGGGTAATTTATATCTCGATTATACAACGTTTTTATATTTGAATAAGCATTAAATTTTAATTAGATGTATACCTTTATTAAAAATATATGTAACTTATAAAATATTTTAAAATTATTTAAGTAAATTAAAAAGAATTAATTAATTATATTGAAATTATACAACAAAATTTCTGAACTTCTTTTGATTTCTTCAAAAAATGTTGAGACTTACAATATTTTAACAAGCAAAAAATCAAGAGTTTAACATAAAATGTAATAAAGATCCGGTTAAAAATCTTTTAAATAGCTTACATTTATGGAAAAGAATTTAAATTAAAGTCATGATAATATAAAGGGTAATTAACTTTGATGTCGGTGTAATACGTTTAATTATTCAAAGTAACAAAGACTTTAATGGTTGCTCTATGTAATTTAATATGCACTATATAATTATAAAAATGTAATGAAGTACATACTTAATTTTTTCTAATACGTGTAACATTTATATTTTCGTGTAGTTAAAGATATTGCCAGCGGCGAATTCAGAAAGCTTGCTTATGGGGCGGAAGGGAGAGAAAGTGGAATGTGCAGAAGTATATTTTTAAATATATTTCTGTACGTTTTGAAACTTATATATAATTTATTTATTAAGATTTTATTTTGCAGGAATTTAACAATTAACTTCACACTATTCATATGTTATAAAAAACAAAACAATTACGTCAAATAATTTATTAATTAATATATTATTTATTTATTTATTAATATAATATTAATTGATTACAATCTATAAAGTCACTTGATCCGTTATTGGATGTAATTTAACAAAAACAAAATTAATACCAAAATTATTAAAATGAAAATAATAAAATTCTTTAATTTACAACAAAAAGTGTCCTGTAATTGAAACAGGTTGATTTATATTAACAAATTAATAAATTTCAATCAAATATTAAATTTAGGAATTTGACTGTTTAGCAATTAAAAAATTTGACAATTTAGTAATTAAAAATTTATAAATTTGAAAACATAGAAATTTAGTAATTTGAAAGTTTAAAAATTTTACAATTTAGAAATTGGAAAATTTGGTGATCTAAAAATTAAAAAATTCGAAAATAAGAAAATTTAAAACTTAAATATTGTTAAATTTCTAATACGAGATATATAAGAAATATTTTACATTCCACGACTCTCACCCCGCATATAAAACAGTCCGTAGAGGGGGTGCACCCTAATACCTAACTAATTATATCATAGCTTTTAATACACGAAACTGAATTCTACAAATTTAGTTATTTTCGTGGAAATAATTACCAATTCAAATATACAATTCTACAACAGTGAAACACCTAAACATTAACAACTATTTTAATAAATCTTTAATAATGCACTCTAAGAACACTTTACATTTTAAAAACACACCATTCCATAGATTAAATTTCACTGTACAATTTATTACATTAATACATAGACGTATATAATTGTATTTAAATATGAAATTTTTAAAGATTTGTAAGTAGGAGGCGCTGAATGAATTAGATACGCGCCTGGCAACGTTAAGTCCGTGTACACACGAGCGCGCTTGTGTGCGCGTATTTCTCGGTAGTAACATTAATTAGTCGTGTCGCGTGAAAGCCTAAAGTAAGCTCGCAAATAATCTCTTAAATGACGCGAACGTGTTAACTATCCATTCGTGATTGTTCCAAAGAGGAAAGAGAAAGAGACGGACAAGGCATTGTCGTAGTCGTAAAAAAGAAAATTCCAAGGGATGAATGAATGACGGCGCGTCAACTAGATACAGGACTGCTCGCGGCAAGGGCATAGGCCATACGGGCCGTTGATTGGCCGGTCTTTGAAGGGGCAAGTTTAGTGAGGGTCCGCAAGAGTGCGCGTCCCGCGCACTCGTGTTAGATCTCGATGGCGACCAAGATGTGCCCGAGAGACGAGCCGCGAAATGCCTAGACGAAATAGTGCTCGATCTGCCGTGAATTCGCTGTGATCCCAGTTCACTCGATGCGACCGGGAAACACTTTGCATGCCTACCGCGTGTCAGGTCGCCATTGCTATCACGGAGGAGGATCGGCCCGGTGTGTATATTTCGTCGCGAGTGTGGTGCGTGTGTGCGTCGTGTCCAAGTGTCGGGAGTTCACGCCGAATCATCGTCGTCGTGGCTACGAGAGAGCGAGAAAGTAAGGACGAGAAAGAGAGCTACGATGTGTCTGCGTTTCAGCCCGTACCATTTTTTCATCGATAGTTGACATTCTCGAGCATGGAACCTCGGTCTCGCCGAACAGACGCATCGTCATCACGGCACTAGCAAACACAAGCACCGTCGGATATACCGAGTAAGTCCAACTGCCGTCTTTTCTTTCGCGACAGCAACCCTGATTATCCGCTCTTCGTTCCTCCTTTACATTTTGTCCTTCTCCCCGCTCGCGGGACCACACTGGATTAATATAAAAGTAGATGTCGAGGGAGCTTGGGGAAAAAAGGAAAAGCAACGTCGATTTCCTCGTGTGCAGTAACACCGAGAGTCCACTGGCTCCAAAATATACCGCGGTGTTTACGTCTCGGGCCCGTTTTTATTTGTTCCTTTATCGCCGTGCGCTTTCTCCTTTTTTTTCCGCGCGTACATTTTTATTTTCTTCCGTTCTCTCGCTTCCGTTTGCCACGGGCTTCCTTTCCCGTCTCCGGTGCCCCGGGTCTGTCTCTTTTTCCTTTCTCCGCCTTTTTCTTTCACCGGGGATCAACTCGCCGCCCTCTCTCTTGCCCCTGTCGTGTTCCCTCTCTTTCTAGAGCCGAGCCACGAGAGCTTTGCGCGTCTCGGGGCGCGTGTATTCACGAATCGAGCTCTCTTTCTTGACGTACCTACCACCGAACGCAGCCGTGCGTTTTCTTCTCGAGTCGTTCCACCAGCTTTTCTGCCGGTCGTACTTTCGTTCCTCGCTTCGTGCCCTACCTTTTTTTTCATCTCTCTCTCCTTCTCTCTTGAGCCTTCGCGCGATCGTTCCGGTTCCACGTCCGTTTCGTTCTCTCTCGAGCCTTCCTTTTTCATCCTGTAACCGAGGTCCTCGTCTCGCGGCCTCTCGCTAATACGCGCGGCTCCTTCGGCTTTATCAAAACAATACATATGGTTATGACGGAGGGGGCGTGCACTTGTTCTGATAATCGTGAATATCAATCGGAGATTTTATAAATAATTCAGTAAATAACCGATAGAAACGACCGTTCGACGTGAGTCCTTCCCTCCAGAACCATTATCCGTAATTGACGACAGTTTGCAATAAATGCGACGAATAATTAAAACGCCGTTACTCGTTCGGCTATTTTTAATCGAACCGGAGGCGAGTGCTTTTAAAATGATTACGATGATTTCGTACAATTTATCGTGATTTTTGACACGAATTCGGGGAATTAAATGGATGTTTTTGAATGACTCTTTATACGGTATTGCCAGCTACCGCTGCTAATAAATTAACCAACTTGTGACATAGCGGTTCTCATTTACAAAACGTTCAAATGTTTTTCATTACATTCTTTATAAATTTTGTTGTAGCTATTAATGTATATTGTCATTATACATTAACTGCAATGTAATGTTACGATTATACATCAACTACAATGTAATGTCATAATGTATATTATGATTATACATTAATAATAAAAGAAGTTTGACATTTCTCCGCGGGGATTTAAACTCGCGCGCAAAAGCAGCGTCTTTGTTTAGTAACCTGACGATTAGCTGGTTGATTTACGACCTTTTAAATTGTTACAATGAAACAAACTGGATAATTATGAAGTCTAAATGTATGCGCCCTATTCTTTAATTACTCGGTGTGACAAAAGATTTCGTACGAAATTTGTTTGATTTAATGAGGAAAACTTTCTTCTGGAAATTTCTAAAATTCGGTATCGCCAATTTTGTGTTGAATGGATATGCGGTGAGTCAAGTTGAAGCAAGTCAAATTGAAACGCGTGGAATTGAATCAAATTAAATTGA